TATATATATATATATATATACATACATACACATACATACTTTTCTGTGTTAAATGAAAGAAACTTCATCGTATTAACCTACTTTTTTTTTGTTTGGAATATCTGTATATATACCACACATCTTTACTGAAAGTTTTCATGCTGTAAGTATCTCAAACTGTGCTGATTTTAGTATTTATTTAGAATAAATGTTGCTATCCAACTTTATCGTTTGACTATAAAAGACCAGTTAGAGGTTATTTTAATGCAGAATTTAGCAATAGTTTAAGCTTCTTAATTTTAATCTCAGTACAATTTCGTTTTAGTACTATCGTTTGCATCTTTTGTGGAACTTGAGTCTGAAATTAAATGAAATCAATCAATAGTGCAGGTTACAGGTTATCCAATTAACCCATTTTTTTGGTAGCTGTAAGATCATCACGCAAAGTTTTTTACCGTCAAATTTACACTCAGCCATTTTAAATCAACCCAGGTTGGTTACAATCATGTTGAGTTTTATTTATTTATCTTTTTCTTTTTTACTCTTTTTTTTTTTTTAATAGTGTCCTGTCTAGAAATTTGACAATAGGAATAATTGTCTTGATGCCAAAAAGAGCCCAACAGATTTTGCGTTCACAAGTAAAGCAGTACAGCTATCGCAATAGTGTTCTGCTTGATATATGCATATAAATAGCTTTATTATAATTCATGCAGGGAGTATTACAGATTATATAGACACTGCAATTTAAATAGAACAGGAAAGGAAATACAGAAAAAAAGAAAAAAAAAGAAAAAAAAAAGAAAAAAAAAGGAAAAAAACAAAAAAAAAAAAAAAACTTTAGTCTGCTTCATCACCAGCAAAGAGATATAAAAAGAAAACTACAAGCAACGGACATGGTAAAAGCAATACAATAAAGAAACACCTTGATTATATCGCTGAAGTATAAGTAGTATTATTTAATCTGACATGTATACTGTGATAGATAAGAATATAGACTTTCTGTATGGAAGTGAATCTCTAAGTACCTGGAACCAAGCACCTGTAGTTGTTTGTGAAAGTGCAAATGAGCATGTAAAGTTTAGCAAAAGTGGAAATGCTCAATAGTGTAGTATACTCTGTTTTAGTGTGGGTATATTTTGTCTAAATCTGTGTGTAGTAATATACATTTATGTACCTCTCATTTACTTTTTTATTTTTTCAACCATGTGATTTTTATGATACATCAATGTAAAACTGTGCTTTTAACTTACATACATATAAGTGTACATATTAAAATTTTTTACTTTCAAAAATTCAATAACGATTAAATATATAAGAATGACATAATTGAGAGAATCCAAACCATATTTCTAGGGGCATAACAATCATTTTTCAGTGATTTCTCAGTCTCTCGCATTCAGTTTCACCTTTCCTGTGAAAACCATTTTTAATAATACCTGATATTAATAAATATTCTCAGGAAGTTTTAATCTCTCCTTACCTGTAAAGACCTAACATCATTCTCCCTGCTGCTGGCCTCTGGTCCATCTCCACCCAGACTCTGCTCTCGCTACTATGGAAATAACCATTAAAAAATGAGGAAAGCAAAATTTTGAAATGGAATTAGGAAGAGAAGCATTAAAAAACGCTCTGGCATTTCAATTTAAAATAAATTGTATTCCATGGATATTCTTTATTTATTTCCTGACTTTCCTCTCTCTATTGTGACCAAAACACTAAACATGTGGAGAGCAATTGGAGCACACGGTGTGCTTAAAAATGAAAGAGGATTGGGTTTATGCAAAGAATAGACTAACTAGCTAATGTCACAGAGGTAGCAACCTTATATATTATTAACCCTTTAAAGCCCGATCCAAGAATAAAACAAAACAGAAATTTATATATATATATTTGGTTTGAATTCCTTATTTGCCCATTTAACAAAATATGAAAAAAGAAAAAACAGAATTACATTTTTGATATTAATAATTTATTACTATGCGATAAGTCAAGATTATTTTTTGTGTAGTCTTCTACTGGCTGTTATCAGGTATATCTGATTGTGTACAATAGGATTTTGAGCAAAGTTTTTACCATTAAATTATGCAAAAGGTGTCAAATGCAAAACATTTCAGAAACCGTATGTATCAAATACGATACATTTGGCATTATAGGGTTAAATGTATATATTGGCTTGTTTGACCTTGTCATCATTTAACTAAAAAGTCTCATTAGCAAACGTGATACAGTTTACTAGGTTAGTTTGGAGAAAGCTACAATGGTTTTGGCTTTTTGCTGGTGGTTTACTAAAAAACCCGATGCTCACGTTCAGCTCTTCACAGCATAAAGTCTCGTGTTGATGCATTCAAAAGCAGCCCGGAAAAATAACGCATGGTGCACTAATAAAGGGTTTAACTGTTGTATTAGTTTTTGAGCATATTTCCTTGGTAGGTCCCAGTAGAATTTTTTCATTTCTGATAAATTAACGATAATGCAGCTTTTAATATTGACTGATACTAATATTGACCAGATAATATCAGCCTGAATAAATACATTTTGTAGTGAATCTGAAACTTGTTCATAATAATGATTTTACAGTTTTATCATAAAGTTCCAATATGAATGTTTAAATTTCGTTGGTTGTACTGTGTACTGATCTAGGTTGTAAGAAAAAATACAGAACAGTAACCATGGGAAACAGGTTACTGAGGTTTAGGTGGTGAGGTGCCATTTATCAAACTGTGAAATGTTCCAGCAGTATTTTCTTTGTACAATAGTCATCAGTAATCCCTGAACAAATTAAAAGCTTTTAACTTAAATCAAAGCAAAAAGGGTAGGTTACATCTGGCAAAAAGGTACTTTATTATTTCACTTATTCTATATAGCAATATTTCATATCAAAATTTCTTATAATGGAACTTAACGAGAAAACCAATGACACAATCAATATACAGAAAGACAATAAACTGAATTTATACCAGTGCAAACAGATAATGCAAACATTTGATTTAATGAAACTCAGACTAATCTGATCGTAAATCTAAGACAATTTCCTCTACCAACCCTAAATGTTCATTGTATTGTTTCATTTGGTCAAAAGTTTATCTGTGTAAGGAACCCTGGCAAACTGTATCAGGTCACTAATTTTGCAGCAATCCCTTCTGAGAGAGTAAGCATTGACAGTAGAATAGAAATCCCCTCAACCACTGAAAGTTAATTCCATTTACTTTCTATGAGCTACATGATCTCAAATTAAACATCTTTGAATGTTATTTGATTCACATTCACAAAGATTCCCACCCGCCAAAAAAAACAGATGTTTGTATTTGGGATGAATCTGTTTGGTCGTCATAGTCTTAATTTAGTCCAGCAATAGTTTAAATTAGGCTGTGTTTTGTCCGTCTGATTTCATCCAATTTTAGTCCAAAAAAAGTCTTTAAAATATATATATATTTTTAACGACTTTTCAACAATCTGAAAATTACAGCTTTTCACCTTTCAATTTTCAACCAACTGTAGCTGTTTGGATGCATAACATGAAGTCTTTTCAACCCATTTTCACTTGGTTTGGAAGTCATTTGGAAACTGACAGTTAAATCTAAAACAACACCAAAGTTCATTAAAAAAGTAGGAGTGATTTCCTTAATTTTGGAAGATTGCTTATTGGCCGATGCTTAGAAGTGAAACTTATCTTAACCACAGATCTTCTCTACTTCTCCCAGTGTTTGAAACTTTTCCACTGTAAATGCTCTAAACTTTTTTATTTTTTGTTTACCCCTGAGAGCAGCAAGTTGGCCAGTTGAGCAAGTTTTATTTTATTTCTTAAAAAAGGTATTTTTTAAGAAATACAATAGAGAAGAAATAAGTCAAAATAAGAATCGGCATGTCAGTTTCTTTAAATATCAGTTATTCCCCAGAAAACTGCAGTTGATGTCCCCTAAAACTGTGATCCTATTTCAACAAGACTGAAAATAAAAGTGCAAAACCTTAATTTTTAAATCATTGTTGAAATAAAACAGTGAAAAGATTAAATAATTCCAATAGGCTAATAAAGTAAAGTAATTTTTTTTAACAGTGCTTGCTTATAAAGTGCTTGCCAATACTTAGTATTACATTACAGGGGCCAGGACCAGTTCTTCAGGGGCGCTGGCCCCCGATGGCCCCTATCTAGAACCACCGATGGAGAGACGCCATTTATGCCATGGAGAGGCTGCAAGATCACAATTTGAACAAAGACATTAACCCTAGTTCTGCTCCCCTAGCTCTGTTCCATTAGAGTTATGTAAAAGACTGCAAATTTTAATAAAGGATTGTAAGGCCTCGTCTGTTCCTGTTTGGCTGTGACGCCATCCTGGAGAGAAACATCAACTGTGCTGCTTCCATCAACACCCTTGTTTATAGATGCTGGAGATCGGCCTGTTTTCCAGTGTGGTCCTGTTTCTCTGACTGTGACTGGCTGGATGTGCTCTCTTCGTCCTCTGACATGGGAGCTGGCTCGGAGCTCGTCTGCCTGGCTGTGTGTTTCCTGGACGGGGCCGCCTTTTGCAGCTGCTTTTTGTATCTCTGCTTCTGTCTCCTTGAACCCCAGTCGGCCTCAGCAGATGGCCGCTCACACTGAGCCTGGTTCTGCTGGAGGTTTCTTCCTGTTAAAAGGGAGTTTTTCCTCTCCACTGTCGCTACAAGCATGCTTAGTGTGAGGGATTGTATTTGAGTCAATGAGTCAATGCAATCAACTGGTTTTCCTTAGATAGAAAACTTTGAATTGAATTAAAGGTGAATATTACTGTTAAACTAGATCCATTAAAGTACATGTGTCTGTTTTAGTGTAAGGAACTCTGCTGTGTCTCCGACCCAATAAACCCAAATTCCTGCACGCAGCGGCCGGGTAAAAGTGGTCTTGACTTTGTGAAGAAGTGTCATCTTATCAGAGATGCTATAAAATGACAGAATTCCTGCCCTTTGATCCAGAAAAACTCCTATTTTAGAGGACTTTGGACCTGAGAGTAAAAGTTTTTCAAAATTATGCCTAAAATAATAAGTAACGTCAAAACATCCAAATGTCCAGGATTTGTTGTTGTTTCCAAACCCACTTTCATTCCCCGTTCTGCTGATATCCTCGTACGCAACAGCCACTGAAATCCCCCCCGTGCCCCTTTCCACCTCCCAGTAGCAGCGCCCAGTCAGGCTCTCTTTGCTCAGAGCCTGAAGCCAGTCAGTGAATCTGTCAGGGTGATCAGGATAATTCTGCTTCTCTTTCATCACTGTTGCTTTCCTGCCATCTTCAGACAGCCCCAGCCATGGGTTCACCGTGTTGGGATCCAGCGTGAGCCGACAGGAATATCTTAAAAATTCCTCTCTGCTCTTTGGTTCCGGATGTGGCAGTAAAGCCTCCACTTTGACCACTTTTGATAAGATTTCTGGCCATGTCTCAGTGAGAACGTCTTGGACCTTTTTGCAGGTTTCTGCCACAGCGTGTGTCACCTCTTTGAAATACGCCAGAGATAGATTATTGATGCTTAGGGACTCTACTGATTCACTCAGATTGGTCAGCACAGAATAACTTTGTAAAAACTGGATGTGGTCATCAGTGTGTAAGATCTGCTCCAGTTCGTCATTCTTTTCTTGTAGTTCAGTGATCTTCTCCTCCAGCTTCACCTGATGTTCTCTGACAAGGTTTACCTCCACTTTCTGTTGGGATCTGATCTGTTCCTTTAAAGCGGAGCTCCTCTGCTGGATGACATGAACTAATTCAGTGAAGATCCTCTCGGAGTCCTTAACTGCTTCATCTGCAGAGCGATTTATAGCATCCATCTCCGCCTGCAGCACCTTTACATCTCTCTCAATCTTCTGGATTCTTTGTTGGACTTTTGTCCGACATTCAATCTGCCTCTCCTTCCTGTCTGTCGCTGCACATACTGTGTCATGATCTTTGTGTTCGTCCATGTGACAAAAAATACAGATGGCCTGCTGATCAGTGCGGCAGAAAATCTTCATCACCTCATCATGGCGAAGACAAAACTTCTCCTGCAGGTTTCTTAAAGGTTCCACTAGTCTGTGCTTTTCAAAAGCCGGGGAGACATAATGAGGCTGCAGGTGGAGCTCACAGTAGGACACCCGACACACCAGACAGGACTTCAGGGCTTTGAGCTTCAGGCCTGTGCAGGAATCACAGACCACATCTTCAGTTGGTATCGGTCCAACTCTTGTTGCTGTTGTTGCTTCCATTAATTCAGCAGTTTTACCAGAACAGGCCTCATTCTGAACATCTGATCATTCACAGTGAGAACAGCTGTACTCACATGGAGCTGCCACTGGGTTCCTGTGCACATCCAGATTTTTTTTCTCTCTTCACTTAGAGCCAGCTGTTTTTCAGTAAAATCTGACCCTCAAAGCAGATATTGAATCCACTCCAGGAAGGAAAGACGATTATTTCCATGGTTATGAAATTCAGGAAGAGGGTGTGGTAAACTCACTCCTGTGACAAGGTTCATGCAAATGGGAGGAAAAGATCAGTTTCCTGTTTCCAGGAGGATTTCAAAATAACAGCATAAAAATTAAGTTCTTTAAAGTCACAGTTAAGAACTCAATTGTTTAGAACTGCCTTTGACAGTTGAAATTAAACTGCTAACTAAGGTATTATTAGTTTAAGGATGTGGTCAAATTGTTTTACAAATATTTTTTTTTTATCTTTATTTGCTTTTATTCTTGTATTTTACTTCTAACTTATTATCTATTTCATGTACGGTATATCAATTTAAATTGTCCATGTACTGAATTGTGCTATACAGATAAACTTGCCTTGCCTAAAGTTCTTCATAAATTTACACTTAACATTAACTTTAGACCTTTTTGAGGTTGTTTTCCTTTCCCTTGGGAAATTATAAATTAATAAGTTAATCTTTGTTATTTTGAAGCAAGTTAAGTTTGAAATCAACACGTTTAGTTATGACTTTTTTCTCTAAATGTAGATTTACATAAAACCAAGTACATCTCATGACTCAGTTTACAGTAATGGCCATTTTAGAAGTAGTTACTTAAACTTTAAATGACTGTAAAGTTCTATCATTGCCATTTTCTTCATTTCAACAATATTTCAGATCTTTCATCTAGTCATATTTTCTCTAAAATTCCAAAGACAGCTTTTCAATCTAGTTGAATTCTGGACTTTGACTAAACGATCCTAACACTACAGTAATTTTGCCCAAAGCTTTCTGCTTTATGATATCATAATTAGTTCATCGTCCAGTTTTATCCAAATGGAAGTTATCTGATGTCATAGAATGAGAAAGATTAGTTTGGTAGGTAGAAAAGTAAACAATGGTCAATGTCCTGTAACCAGGAAACAAAGGAGAATCATCTCCATTCCCGCACAGGTGCTGATATTCTGCTTAGTTTCTTCAAATGTCCCATTATGACCCAACATCTTGGACCTTTTTCTTCCAGAAGGATTCTAGTTAGTTCAGATGTACATTTTGTAAAGCTGTTTCATTTCGAGAAAAATAGATCCTACTGGTAACTTTTCCAAACAAGCTTTACTTGTTCTGTATTTGTTTTTTGGTACCATTACACATTTAAATATTCTATGTTCCCAACCTGTTCACACAAGCGTGTTCACTCCAGGTGAGAACACTTACAGTACAAACTCTTCCAGCACACTTGCTAACGATCTGTTCCCCATGTTATAATTCATCTGATTAGTTATTACTTGCTTCAAATTTTGTCCTAAATTCTCTGGCAGCAGCGAAAGCTTAATCAGTTTTTTTTCCACTTGAGTTCAGCAGAGCGGCAGCGATGGTTAAAATCCCGACATTAGTTCTTTCTGCGTGTTGTTTTTAGGTATTTCTTTTCAGTCTAAAATTATGTCATTCAGGTTAACTCTAATGCCGCTTTTTCACCAAGTCTACTTTACCCCACTAATTTCAAAATTCTTCCTTTATCCTCTTTTTTTCCCCCCACTTTTATCTTTATTGTTTTTGACAATAAAAGAAACGATGCATATCAGCCCTCTGAGCAGCAGCAAGATACAAAACCAAAGCAAAATGAACACTCAAACCTAAGACAGCAACCGGTTGTCTTGATACAAAAGTCAGACAGTTTCCGAGGCTAATTTATCTGCTATCCATTT